TGATATTTTGGAGTGATGAATTTAGAAATTATATTGAAATTCGGTTATCAAAATTAATAAATTCAATATAGAATAATTAATAAAAAAATATTATTTTGTTATATTCCAATATAAATATGAATTTATTCATATTAATTTTAAATTTCGTATTCATTTTAAATTTCTTTAAAATATGAATGTTGAATAGTAAGATAAATTATTTTCTCATTTTCTATTAATAAGAAAAATATAAATTTCTGATCCTATTCGTAAAAAAGATTTTAAAAATCGTATAAATTAATTCACAAAATTATATACTATTAGAATGAATATAGAATATGAATATGAATATCACAGCAAGGTAAGAATAGAGCCATATTCAATGGGATTTTTTATTGCATATTCTGAAATATCGATCATACAAAATATCAAGTTTTGATATATCTTTTACGATTTAGATTTGGATCCAAATGAATATAGAATTATATCTTTAATTTAATCACGAAAATGATAAAAAGAAACAAAAATTAGAATATATCTATAGATATAATACGTTTTTGTTACAATGTATTTATATTTATATGTATTTATATTTTAATTTTCGTTATATTTTTATATAATTATTTATATGCATACATATACATGCATATATACATACATATTATATATAAATTTAAAAAACTTGATAATTTTTATGTAAATAATAAAATTATAAATGAGATATAAGATATATTAATAATAATTAAAAGATACAGTATATTAATAATAATATTTTTTGTTTTACGATTTTACAAAGCAAAATATGATAAGATTTTTTTATATTTTAAGAATTTTAGTGATTTTCCTAATTTATTTATATATACATGTAACATTAACGATTTAGTATAAAAAATAAATATAATATTAATGACGAATATAACGATTGAAATTTAAATCTAATTTTACTATAAAAACTATAAATAAAATCTAAATCAAACTTATAAGAAATAAAATACATAAAAATTTATATTTTTTGACTTGCGCACATTATAAATGATTAATTATGAAACAATTAATTATTACAGATAATTCTAAAGACAATTTATTATAACCTTAATTTTTTCTACTTTTATTGCATCAAATTTTTATTTTCAAAACTATTAATATAATGAACATGATTTTTTTTTTATTCATGAAGATTAAATAAACAAATAATTATCTTTTAATATAAAAAAACTATTATTCATTTATTTGGCAATTAATTTATTACTATTTACTTATTTATTTATTTATATATTTACATATTTATTTAATTAATTAAGAATATATATATATATTTCATTCATAAATTATTATAAAAATTAGATAATCAAAAATTAGACTATTATTATATTATTATATTTAATATATTTTAATTACTTCAATTAATTATATTAAAAGTAAATTAATAAGATTATTTTA